GTTAATACGCTCTGAAGCCTAATTATTCTAACAATAAATAATTATTTGTTTATTGGTGCATTTTATTTGTACCATAAACATAAATTGAACATACACTATGTCAGGTAACATTGTAAGTGCTTTATAATATTAACTCACTTGGTCCTCATACAACCATATGAGATAGATTTTGGGATACAGAGAGATTAAATAACTTGCCCAGGCCACAGAGCTAATTAAGTGTCAGAACTAGCGTTCAAATCAAGGCTGCCTGACTCCACACTTGAGCTAGACAACTGTACTATTGCTGCCTCTCTGAACAAATTTAAGGAACAGCTCTGGCCACCTCCCTGGGGAAGTACAATCCCCCCAAAACATTTCTTTTTAAGTTTAACACATTAATAATTAATGCATCTAGGAAAAGGCATACAAGAAGTCATTATATTATTTTGCAAGTTTTTTACAAACTTTATTCTTTATATAAAACTTAAAAGTGAATAGTTTTACTTTTAAAGTTAATATTGATTAAAATTTTTAAAATTACATTTAAAACTCTAAAGAAAAATTTTAGGTCTAAAAAATATGCAAGGATGTATACAGTTTTCCAAAATTCTTTTGGTAGTGGTAACAAGCACAGAGTTTGAAGACAACGGTATTTTCAAAAATGTATTTTATTGAAGTATAGTTGGGTTACAGTGTTGTGTTATTTTCTACTGCACAGCAAAGTGACTCCGTTATGCATGTATATACATTCTTGTTCATCCTCTTTTCCACGATGGTGTATCACAGGATATTGAATATAGTTCCCTGTGCTCTACAGCAGGACCTTGTTGTTTATCCATTCTCTATACAATAGTTTGCATCTGCTAACCCCTAACTTCCACTCCATCTCCTACCCCCAACCTCCCTGGGCAGCCACCAGTTGGTTCTCTAGAAGGGAACAGTCTCAAGGAACATTTCAGGAAACTGTCATGTGATTCTTTTTTTTTTTTTTGTGGTACGCGGGCCTGTCACTGTCGTGGTCTCTCCCGCTGCGGAGCACAGGCTCCGGACGCGCAGGCTCAGTGGCCATGGCTCACGGGCCCAGCCGCTCCGCGGCATGTGGGATCTTCCCGGACCGGGGCGCGAACCCGCGTCCCCTGCATCGGCAGGCGGACTCTCAACCACTGCGCCACCAGGGAAACCCAGAGAGACCACACTCTTAACCCTCATCCCACAGCCACGTCCCTGTCCAATCTTTAGTTAGTATCTATTTCAAGTTCCATCAGCTGGTGCAGACAGCACCTTCATGGGCTCCGTGGAAGGGACAAGGTCCCACCTTCAAGGAGCACACAGCCTAGTTAAGGAGACGTGACACCCACCACGGAAAGTTTGGTAACAACAAAGGCAGGACGAGTGGCAGGGGTGATGAAAGCAACAGGAGTCAAAGGTAGGAAAGGGCGCGGAGACTGGAGAGGCCCGAGGGTCGGGTGGGAATTGATCTGGGTGGTGCAGAACGTGCAGAAATGGGTCCTATGGTGAGTCAGGAGGGACAAATAGCTCCCCTTCTTCCTCCCTCCGCGGGGTACTGATGGAGGGGAAGGAAAATGGAGATGGGACGGGGGAGGGGGCTCCTGAGGAAGGTAGTTCTCTAAATCACCTCTCGGTTGCCCCCTCAACCATGAGGATTTTCTGTCGGCCTTGGATATGCACTGAGTCCAGATGCCAAGCACAAGCATGTTCCATTCTCACGTGAGCTTACTACCCGATTTTTTTTTAATCTATTTATTTATTTTTGGCTGCGTTGGGTCTTTGTTGCTGCTTGCCGGCTTTCTCTAGTTGCGGCGAGCGGGGGCTACTCTTCGTTGCGATGCGCGGGCTTCTCATTGCAGTGGCTTCTCTTGTTGCGGAGCACGCGCTCTAGGCACGTGGGCTTCAGTAGCTGTGGCACGCGGGCTCAGTAGTTGTGGCGCACGGACTTAGTTGCTCCGTGGCATGTGGGATCTTCCCGGAGCAGGGCTTGAACCCATGTCCCCTGCATTGGCAGGCGCATTCTTAACCACTGAACCACCAGGGAAGCCCTACTACCTGATTTTAAGCGCGGTGGCTTCCCAGAAAAATCTGCCAAAGAGAGGACCAGGGCAGGTGACTTTATAAAGGCAAGGGGATGGGGCTTTGGGACGGGCAATCAGGAAGAGGGCTTGGGAGGAGACAGAAGAGTGGAGAGGCTGAACAGATGCTGTGCGCAGTGATATTTTGGGGACGGGGTGATGTGTGAAGATGCTTTTTCACCGCGTAGCATGAGGGATCTTAGTTCCCCAACCAGGGATCGAACCCGTGCCCCCTGCAGTGGAAGCAAGGAGAGGGGAAGCTCAGAGTCTTAACCACTGGACTGCCAGGGATGTCCCATGAAAATGCTTTTTTAAGGAAATCTTGCTGGTGGTGAGCCGCAGGTCCTTGTGCTGCAGGATGCAGCCCTGAGCAAGGGCCAACAGCACTGCTCAAGGCAGTTTCTTTGAATGCTAAGCTGACCTTTAGGATGGAACCAAGGCAGCTGGTTTCTTCTGGTTTTCTTCCCCCACGGCAGGTTTACCCACAGTAACCCACTTATCTTCTACAGGAGAGCGGTGAGAAGTGCAGGCTTTGGGGTCAGACAAATGTGAGTTCAAATCCTGGCTTTTCCTCTTGCTAACTTTGTCCTCATGAGCATGTCATGTAACCTCTCCGAGCCTGTTCCCTCATCTGTTATAATGAGGCTAATATCTAACTCGTAGGGCTTTTGTGAGGATTAAATGAAATTACACATGTCAAGTGCTAAGTTATTCCTGCACCTAGTAATTGCTTTATTAAAAAGTTAGCTGTTATTATTATAATAGTCCTAAAGTGTAGTAGTATTATCCTCATTTTACATACAAGGGTGGAGACTTGGGGAAGTCAAGTTCACCTGCCCCAGAAGCCCTTCTGAAGGGCCCTGCCTTTGAACAAAGACAGGAAGGAACACATGAGGCCATGACTGAAGGTCACCTAGGCAGATGGAAAGGATCAATGCAAAATTAGAGTGGAGACGCGCATAAAATGGGGGCGAGGTCAGAGGATGCATGCGCCCAAATGCTCACAGAGGTCTTCTGGTGGAGGCTTATGGTTGGACCAACTGCCCGCTCTGAAGCCCTGTTGGATGTAGGGATTGGATCCCAGCTGTTCCACATGCTGGTTTTGTGTCCTTAGCCAAGTTACTTTACCCCTGAGACTCATTCTTGCATCTGGCAAGCGGGGATAATACCAGCAGCCCTGCTCCACTGGGTTGTGCTGAGGAGAAGGTTGACTGTTCTACACCGAGCACAGCGCCGGGCACGTAGGACGGCTCCTGAAACCTAGGGGCTGCCCACGTGACCCCAAACTAGAACCTGGGTCTCTGAAGGATGGGGAGAGGATCCAAGGCTTCTGAATGCTGCTAAAATGACCCGAATTGTGGTCCAGTTATCCAGAGGGGCCTGTGGTTCAGAGAAGGGTATTCCCCAGAGCATGAGGAAATTACCATAAGCTTGAGCAGACGGTATGTGGGTCACTGATGAGAAGGAACTTCCTGAAATTCAGGGTTGTCAAATTAAATTAGAAAAAGCAATTTGGGACTGTTGTGGCAGCGTCTGCTCTAGGAGTAAAATATCTGCCCATCTTCCTGGGCTGGGCCAGAAGTGTCATAACGAGATGCGCCCACACGGTCTCTCTGGGCAAATGAGCCTCAAAATACACATGTCACGGCAAGGGCTGGCTGTGAGCCTGGACTCAGTGACAGCGGCCAGAGAGCTCATAGAAGCTGACCATGGTTTGGGGGCAGGGGGCAGGGCGAGCTGTTCTAGCTTTGGAAACATGTGCAAGGACTGACCCAAAGCCTTAAGACTCTTCATTCCGTGTGCTTTTTGTTTTTTGTTTGTTTGTTTGTTTTTCGGTACGTGGGCCTGTCACCGCTCTGGCCTCTCCCGTCGCGGAGCACAGGCTCCGGACGCGCAGGCTCAGCGGCCATGGCTCACGGGCCCAGCCGCTCCGCGGCATGCGGGATCTTCCCGGACCGGGGCACGAACCCGCGTCCCTTGCATCGGCAGGCGGACTCTCAACCACCGCGCCACCAGGGAAGCCCTCCGTGTGCTTTTGAGTCACTCAGGGGCTGAGCAGGTGGACACCCGGTGTCAGCACAGACCTGAGGGAGGAAACCAAATGACTGTTTGGAGGAAGGGGATGTCACTGATCAGAGCCACTTGAACAAAGGCGCGGACTGGGCAGCAGCCTCGCTGGCGGTTGTCAGGCAGCAGTGAGGACCGTCTGCCAAGGACATGAGGCAGCCTTTCTGCACAGGGAGGAGTGTCAGGTTGTGAGACCATGTGGCTGCCATCCAGCTGGGAAAGGCCACTCCTGGCCCACAGACCAAGTCAAATCTACCTGCAGTTCCAGGAATGGCCACTAGGGGAGAACGCGGCTCCCAAGGACAAGGAGGCAAGTCAAGGCCACGAATTAAAACGCCTCCAGAGATTTTTCACTTTTGCTACCTTCTCCTCATTCTTGAAGGCCTGAGCTCCCTGGGAGGAGAAAGGAGTGGGGTCCCACAGGTGGGGACTCGGTGCCATCGCCTTGGCCTTCCTGAGGAAGTGCCGGGCATCCTGAGCCATGGAGGCCCTCCCGGTCTTGCTACGATGCCACAGCCCCTCCGGGGACCCATTGTGTCAGGAGCGGGAGGGGGCCTGGCCAGAGCACAGACCCGAACATTCACACACCTGACTCCAAGGTCTGCCTCAGGAGATCCCAAGCAGGGCCTTTGGGGCCCCCAGCTCCGCTCCTATGCACTTTCCCCATCACCTTCCACCAGAGGCAAAGGCCACACTCTCCCAGTGCCCCAGTCTTGGCTTAATGTGAGAAAAGCATCTGATAAACTCCCTGAGGCAGAGGGAGCCCTTTGTTCCCACCAAGGCAGGCACTGCTAAGCCCGGGTTTTCTCTCTCCAGAGCCGTCATCATCCAGAGAATCCTTCTGGACATAATATTCTAGGACACCCACTACTAATCCATCAGAACTGGCGCACAAGGTACAACTTATGTGGCATGGTTGTCTTAAGGGGCCAGAAGCCTTTAGAAGGAGCGCCACTGAAGAGATGCTGAAGGGGCAGTAATGAACCAGCAATGCGCAGCTGAAGTTAGGGAAGAATTCCAGGTATTTAAAAAACAAAGACCGTCCTTTTGGGCAGGGGCAGAGAGATGACAGCGTAGGCACATCTACCTACAAGTCCGTTCTATCTGGGTCCTTTAGCAAATCCAGGCCGTTCAACTCCACAGACACCAATGCCAGGCCTGCACAGGCTCCTGTGCTAGGGGCTCCCTGCCCTCAAGGAGTCTAGTGAAGGGCGTGTGCACATAAGCCAACAGCAGCAGAATTAGGCAGAATATGAGTGGTGCCTTTCAAAGAAACACAATGGCCAAGGCATTGAAAGTGGGGAGGAAAGCCATCACTCTGGTTGGAGGATCCTCAGGAAAATGTCCTGAAGGAAGCAGGACCTTGAAGGAGGCAGAAATGGCGATGGGGGGACAAAGGGGTCAGGAACGTTAGTTATGCCAGCTGGGGGGAGTGCTTGAGCAAAGGCGTGGAGCCAGGGAAGCCCAGGCAGAGTCAGAGGATGGGGACACATCCAGGGACGGAGCAGGGGAGCAGAAAGTGAAAGCAGGAAGTATGACTGGGGCCATGCCTTGGAGGTCCTTGCATGCCAGCAAGAGGTTTGTCCTCCGAAGCCACCACCCAGAAATCGGCAACTGCGGTGGGATGTCCCCAGGACAGGGGAGGCTCTCAGGAGGCTTTGGGAAGCCTACCCTTTCCCTCTTTCTTTCTAAACACTTCTCTGTGTCTTTGCTCATGCCGTTCCCTCCTCCAGAAATGCCCTTCCCTCCTACTCTGGTCAACAAACTCCTACTCAACCTTAGAGTCCCGGCACAAAGTTCACCTCCTCTGTGAAGCCTTCCCTGGCTCCCTTATGTAGTTATTAGTCCCCCCAAAGTACTCCCCCAGCTCTTGGCTCATTCCTTATATGTAACTTATAGATCAATGTTCTGTCCCGCATTAGTCTATCTGTCTCCCCATTAGTTTGTAATTTCCTGGAAGTCAGGGGCTATCTCTATACTAGGAATTATACTATTCTTACACTAGTCTTCATACTAGGAATGCATATTCGATATACTCCTAGTGCCTTGCACAGAGAACACTGCCAGTAAGTGGGGCAGGGACGGAGGGCATCAGTTCTGGTCTGAGGAGCTGTCAGCTGTGCCCCGTGGCCTGGCCTCCTGGTTTTATCTGCTTCACATGACCTGGTACCTCCCAGCTCTGAGCCTTCAGCTTCTCCCGCCCCCAGCTCTGGAGGGAGGAAGACACACCTACCATCTGCTCCCTCACCGCCAGTGCCTGCTAGCACCTCATTAACCCAGCCGGCCCCCGCCCCGCCCTGAGAGGTGTGGGCTGGCAGAGTTCAGGGGTCAAGGGAGTCTCCCTGACCTTTCTGCCCATGAGGAAGGGGAGAAGGGACTAAGGGCCCACTACACCAGCTCCAGAAGTCACCCTCATGCTGTACTGGACAGAGGCTTTTGATCCTCAGAGCTCTGCTCTTGGACAGACAGACAACTCGCTAGCTGTGGGGTCCAGCTGGGGACTTGATGGGGACCGTCTGCACTGGGGCAGAAACGGAGGCACCAAGGAGGGATAGGACTCAGGCTAGGGGGAACTCCCTGGTGGTCCTGTGGTTAGGACTCCACGCTTTCACTGCCGAGGGCGCGGGTTCAATTCCTGGTCAGGGAACTAAGATCCCACAAGCTGTGTGGCACAGCCAAAAAAAGTGTGTGTGTGTGGGGGGCGGAATGTGAGGGAAGGCGGGGTGGGGAGAAAGACACGTACCCAGGTGCCCCCCAGTAGAGGCCAACCCGCCAACCTGCCAGCTCTTCCGGCTTCATTCAGCTCCCTGAGCTGTGTTCCCCTCTGAGCCTGTCGCAGGCAGGGGTCTCCTCTCCACAGCGCAGAAGGGACCAGGCAGGCTGTGAGACGAACCATCTGACGAGGCCGGAATGGAACAGATAGAACACAGGAGTCTGGCCTCCCACCCCACACGTTCCTGCGGCCACTCCTCCAGCTTCTTTCCCAGATAACGTCTCCTCCCAGAGAGGCTGGAGACCGGCCCTGGGGCAGCGGCGGGTGGAGGTTGGATCTCAGCCTCAAGACAAGTGAAAGGGTTAACGCTCCTGTGTCCACTGGCCCAGTGTAGCCAGCTCTCTCAGCGCCTGTAAGTCCGGGCTTGCCTCTGGTGTTCTCTCAGTTTCCATTCCTCTCTTACTCCTTCCACTTGGGAGGACACCCTTGGCACCAGCAGTGTGTGGGGTGTCATTTAATACTGCCAGTAATCAGCACCTCCTGTTTACTGGCTCTCTTTCCCTCATGGCTACTCTTGTCATCCCTGAATCCCTCTCTCTCTCTCAGACACACACATGCACACACACACACACACACACACACACACACACACGAGGAATGGGAAAAAGGGCTTCTGTCCACCGCAATTCCTGCCCCACACAACTTCTCTCCCTAAAACGGATCCGGATCAACTGGGAGGCAGGAAGCAGGAGGTAGGATGCGGAGAGCTGGAGGTGCCAACAGCCCTTCTGAACTAACAGAGCAATCGCCTAACAGCAAGCTCAGAACAAGAGACTAGTGGAGGGCAGACGAAATTAGAAAGAATCAAAGGATAAAGATTCCTCTTCCAGATCCAACAGTCATCAGAGTCGAGGATTGGAACACTTCAGATCATCTGTGGGTTTAATATGCCAGCAAAGAGAGGAGAGAGATTGGACATCCTTTCCCCAGTGATACAATGAGAGGATGTCTGTACACTTCACCGCATAGCCAATTTTAAAATAAAATTATTTATTTACTTTAAATTTATTTTTGGCTGTGTTGGGTCTTCATTGCTGCGCGCGGGCTTTCTCTAGTTGCGGAGAGCGGGGGCTACTCTTTGTTGTGGTGTGCGGGCTTCTCACTGCGGTGGCTTCTCTTATTGCGGAGCACGGGCTCTAGGTGCGCGGGCCTTAGTAGTTGTGGCTCGTGGGCTCTAGAGCGCAGGCTCGGTAGTTGTGGCGCACAGGCTTACTTGTTCCGCGGCACGTGGGATCTTCCCGGACCAGGGCTCGAACCCATGTCCCCTGCATTGGCAGGCGGATTCTTAACCACTGCACCACCAGGGAAGTCCCCGCGTAGCCATTGTACAGAAGGAAGAACCAGGACAGGGTGGCGGGCTGGAGGCATTCAGGCCTGCTCCCCCCACCTCTCCCCCCACACTGGGTCTTCAGCTTCATGACTGTGAGAAGACAATGACCACACATCCATGGACACTCCTGATTCCATGTCGAGCGTTTCTGTCAGATGATGTGTCCTGATCTGGGAATGTGAAAATGTGCCCTTTATTTTGCTGCCGGCTGTAGGTGCTGGGACGCCCTCCTGAAGCCTTCAATGTGGTTGTTTGCCAGTGAAGAGCGTGGGTGCCCCCATCTGATACCCCTGTCCTCCCAAGCCCCAGACTTGGTTAATGGGAGAAGTGTTGGGTCAGCCTCAGCCTGGCACCAGACGCCATCCCTAGAGCAAAGGTGAAGTCCAACCTTCTACCAGATGGCTGGAGCCGGCAAGCAGAGATAAGGGTCACACTTTGGACTCCACAGCCAGAGGTGGGGGCAGAGCCCCCGGGATCCGTGAACCCCGACACCCCTTCTGCTGCGGGTCCTGCTCCCCTGCATGGTTAAAGGAGGAAGACGGGGCCGAGACCAGGGCAGTGGAGGGCTAGTCAGTCACTCACAGCACGCGCAAAGCGAGGTGGGCACCTGCTGCGGGTTACTCAGTCATCACCGCCGCCCGGCCGGGGGGAGGGGGGCGCGGGGGGTTTGCAGCGCGCGAGGGCGGCGGGCAAGCCAGGGTGGGTGGCGACTTCAGGGGCGAGGGGAAGCGGGGAGGGGTCCCTGAGGAGCGAGCCCTCCTCGGCGGGGGAAGGTGGTGGCCGCAGCCCGGGCAGAGCCGCTTGGTCCCCAGGGCCCCACGGGCGCCCACTGCGCCGCGGGTCCGGTGCCCGCGGGAGGGGGAGGAGCCAGCCCGGGGGGCCCCGCCCCTCCGGCCCGCCCCTCCCGGCCCGGCCCCGCGCTGCGCTGCACTGGTCCCGCGGGCCGCTCGGTCCCAGACCCCGCCGGGCCGCGAGGTGGGCATCGCCGGGGGAGCAATCGGCGACCGGGGGGCTGGCAGCGCGGGCAGCGGGCGCCGGGACACCTGCGGACACAGGTGAGTGGCGGGAGGGCGGGGGCGGGGCGCCGGGGCTGGGGGCGCGGGGCCGAGAGAAGGGGAAGCCGGGTCAAAGCTCGGAAAGGACCCCGGGGAGGAAGAGGGACTCAGAGCCCTAGGAGGGAGGATTATTGGGAGGGGGCCCGGGAGACAAGGAACGTTGTCCCCTGCTCATAAATCAGAGGAAAACTAAGCGGCGGGCTGCGCGGGATTCTAGGGCCAGCTGGAGGGAGACCAGCACCTGCTTAGGAGGTCTCTCCTCTCCAGGCCCTGCCGCCCCAGTGAGCGGGTCCTCTATCAGGTTTAGGGGGAGGGGATGGCGCCCCGCGCGCGAGGCTCCCAGCCCCACCGAGGAGTTCCCATCGGCTGGGGAAGACCTAACAGAGCCTGCTCCCCCTCGGCTCGTCTGTAAGGCCAGCGGCCGGATAGCTGTCTGTGGCCTGGAGGGTCCAGGTAAGGGGTGGGGCAAGCTTTTCAGTAAAAGACCAGATAGTAAATATTTCAGACTCTGAAGCCGCTGTGGTCTCTGTCACAGCTAGCAGGAACGTAGTCACAGACAACTGGCCAAGGAGGCGATGTGGCTGTGTTCCCATAACACTTTATTTATGGACATGGAAATTTGAATTTCATATAATCTTCGTATGTTGTGAAATATTATTCTTCTTTTGACTTTTTCCAACTATTTAACATGTAAAAAACATTCTTAGCTTGTGGGCTGTGCAAAAACAGGTGGCAGGCGGGGCTGCATCCAACGGGCCCCCTCCAGCTCACCACCCCAGACACTCATCCCCCACTCCCGTGTTTGGAGGAGGGGAGGGTGTAGCTAGGTGCAAGGGGCATCCTGAATGCCTGGGGGCATCCAGGAACTGAGGGACCCTTGCTCCCAGCTACTCTTAGGACCTCAGCATCCTTTGAGGCCAGGGTAGGAGCTGGTACCCAAAATGCGCAAATGTGAGGGAAGGGGCATGGTTCCAAGGGGCTTCCTACCCAGCATGTCGGGGTGTGCCCGACCCCCACCAAGTCGTAGATGAGGCAGCTGCGCTCTCCCAGCAAGTAGCCTTGGCCTTCCCTCTCCCCTTCCCTCTCTTCCCCTCCCCCTCCCTCCTCTGTCTCCAGCCTGGTGTCACCCACTGATCAAGGTTGGCCCTTCCATTCCTTATTTTCTCTCTGCAGCCTCAGCGGGTCTCTTTCTCCTGAACATTGGAGTTATGACCCTTGGGAGGTGACCCAGGAGAGAAGGGATGCACGCCTTTGATCCTCCCAATGAGGGTCGCCTCCAAGGACTGGTGGCCTCCCGCATTGAGACCTATGGGGGCCGGCTTCGGACCTCCACCCTGAGTACTCCTGGTAGCCTCTATCCCCGAGGAGGCCCCGTGCTGGTGAGTCCAGACTGTGTCCCAAAGGTGACCGGGGTGGGGCAGGGGGGAGGACACCCAGGCTTTCAAGTCTCTGTCCCCTTGCCAGGCCTTGGACTGCTCTATTCTTAGCCCGCACCCCTGCCTTCTTTCGTGGGTTGTGAGGGAGAGGATGGCCGTGCTGGGCCAGGTTCCCGGGACTCTACACCCATCCCAGACAGATGGGGCAGGTGAGGCAGAGAGCCAGGAGGGGCCAGGCCCTCAGTGCTGTTAGACTGGTCACAGGCACAGATCTGGTGGGGAAGGTCACCAAACCCAGGGTTTGGCACCTCCCAGACTCCCACCTCTACTTGGGAGGAGCTGGTGGGCTCCTTGAAACCTGCCTCCCTCTGAGTCAGGCCTGGAAGAAGAACAAAGGTTCAAGGTGTTCCTGCTCTACAGGTGGGGAGGGGTGTGAGGGCCTGCCCACCTCCACCCCAGCTCCACCCTCCTGTCGGCCTCCAGTGCTGACCAAAGAAATGGGCGTGGAGGTGCAGCAGTCTTTCCCTCAGCCTCCAGGCTCTCCCTCCACCTTGAGGTCAGTTCTGCTTCCGGCCGAGGGTATCCCCTGCCTGACTGGAGGAGGGTTTGGCCCTGGGAGGCAGCTGAGGGTGGGAAGGGAGACTAGGATGTCTGTGGGGTAAATCAGGCCATGGGCAGATCAAGGAATGTGACCAGGCCTGCCCAGGAGGAGACTTCTGGGCCAGGCCTCAGCTTCGCACACGGAAGGGCAGCCACTCCCAGCTGGATGGGACACGCCCCGGGGAGGAGGCCGCACGTGTGAGTGCCCCCATCCCCACGTGCGCAGGAGGCTGTAAGGGCCCCAGAATGCGTGTGCACCGGGCGCCCTGCAGGCACGGCCGTGGTGCAGGGAGCACACACGGGAGTGGGACTGGAGGGGGACACTGGGACACACACAGAGCCTGGGCATTTGCGTGCCAGAGCTGCTGCTCTGCACGAGGCCCCCTGGGGACCTGGGCCCGGTGGGCCCCTGCCTGGCTCAGTGGCCTCCCTGGCAGTGGCTGCTGTGACTCAGGGCCAGAGTGGCTCTCACCAAACTGGTTTGAGGGGAGAGGTGAGCCGGCCCAACTTGCTGGTGTAGTGGATGCTGTCCAGAGCCAAGCCAGGCCCCACTGCTTGTCTGGGACTTCTGTGGGGAGAGGACACCCCCAGAACTCCCCCACTCCTCCTCCAGGATCCCAGTGGCCGACACCTCCAAGGCTATGTCCGCTTTACCAAGGGTTCTGGCCCGGCCCGAGGCCTGTCTCCCCTGAGGCTGCGAGAACCAGAGCCTGAGAAGAGGCATGGAGGCCCCTTTGGGGTTGGGACACCTCACTTCCCCAAACTCAAGGTAAGGGGTCCCTCTCCTCCCATCCCCAAGCTCACAGCCTGAGCTGCGACGTCCTCCAGAGACCATCAGAGCTGAGAACATGAGAGCCCCTCCAAGAAGCAGGGTGCGGCTCTGTCTAGAGACCCTCTCAGGGGAGCATCTCTAAGCCAGGCTGCCTCATAAAGATGTCCGTTTGATGGGCAAGTGTCAAAATGTTCCTGAGACCACTGGTTCCCTAAGTCCCGTTCTGGTCTCCACCTGAAGGTCCCTCTGAAGGGTTCTATCTCAGGAGAGCCCTGGAAGCTATCTTTCTGGTCAGGGAGCCCAGGTCAGACCCCTCTGTCCAGGGACCTTTCTGCAGACCTTTCTGCCTCTCCATGCATGTTCCGGCAACACCCTGTACCCTGTAATCCCAGCCAGGATTGATCCTTGTCCCTCGGGCCTGCATGTCCTCACTCAAGCTCAGGGCAACTTGCCACCACACACACACACACACACACACACACACACGCAGCCCTTCCCGGGCCAGGAAGTGGCCAGGACTAATCCCCTCTCGGTGCCCCCAGGAAGTCACCAGAGCCCACGAGCTGGAGGTGAGGCTGCACACGTTCAGCATGTTTGGGATGCCCCGCCTGCCCCCAGAGGACCGGCGGCACTGGGAGATCGGAGACGACGGTGACAGCAGCCTGGCCATTGAGAAGTCCTGGAAGGAGCTGGTGCCTGGACACAAGGTGGGCCCGGGACACAGTGTCTGACCCCGTGGGGGTCCTAGACACACACACACACACACACACACACACACACACACACACACCCCTCACCTCTGCCCCGGAGGAGGGAAAGGCCTTGGGAAGTGGGGTCTGCAGGGACAGCACTTGGAGGCATCTTGCTGTAGCTTCAGATCCCGGCCCCGCCACATACTAGCGAGACCTCGGTCAAGACAGCAAACCTCTCTGCGTCTCGGTCGCCTCCTCTGTGACCTGGGGATAACACCCCCTACACACTGGAGGATTGGTGGAGGGTTAAAGGTTTCTGTGCAGTAGATCTGGTAGCATTCAGCAGATGGCAGCTGCTGGTCTTGCCATCATTCCCCAGCTGAACCAGCCCTATCCCCACCCAGGAGATGAGCCGGGAGCTCTGCCACCAGCAGGAAGCGCTGTGGGAGCTACTGACCACCGAGCTCATCTACGTGCGGAAGCTCAAGATCATGACGGATGTGAGCCGCCCTACCCCCGCCACATCCCCGGCAGCCCCGCCCCCGGGCCCCATCCTTGGCCCTTTACCGTGTCCCTCGAATCACTCCCCCCACCCGGTTCTCCAGACCGGAAGGGGCACGGCTGTTGGGGAGAAGGGGCAGGACATCAAGATCCCCCTGACCTGAGACCCGCCCGGTGTCTTGGGAGAGAGGGTCGCGGTATGAAGGTGGGGGTGGGGATGCTGTGAAGGGCTGGCTAGGCCGGGGTCTGAGAGGAAGAGGTCAGACGCTGAAAGCCCTCCCTACATCCAGCTCCTAGCCGCCGGTTTGCTGAACTTGCAACGAGTGGGGCTGCTGACAGAAGTGAGTGGGCACTCGGGGTGTGGGACCCAGGGAGTGGGGGCGGGGTCACAGAGCGGAATTGCAACCCCCATTTACCCTGCCCTCCCCACTCCCCTCCTTGCTCTAGACCCCAAGCAGGCTGCAGGTCCCACCCAGCCCCTGCCACTCGGGCTTAGCTGTCCCTGCCTGCCCACCGCCCGTGCTGCCCGCAGGTCACCTGCCGAGGCATGTTCCGCTCCCTCCTCCAGGTGTCAGCTGAGACCCTGTTTGGAAATGTCCCTAGCCTGATCCGAGCCCACCAGAGCTTTTGGGAAGAGGTGCTGGGGCCCACCCTGGAGGAGACACGAGCCTCGGGCCAGCCTCTGGACCCTGTCAGCCTGCAAAACGGCTTCCTGTCGGTGAGGCGGGGAGAAGGGCCCCATCTGGATGGGGCAGGACTGGGAGAGCCCCAAGGGGTCCTGTCCGCTGGAATGCTCATACCACTGGCACCCTGCCGTGACTCGAGGGGGTCCAAGGGCACGACCCCTACCCCTAAATACCACCTCACCTCTTACCTTCATTCCACCAGTATGACCTCTGTCCCGAAGGCTCTTTGGGCTTCTGGAGCCCCCAGAGGGAGGGTAGCTATCTCAGGGAAGGGCTACACCTAAGCTCTCATCGACCATGAAATCTTATGTCCGGGACAGAGACCCATCGACAAGCAGCAGGGGACAAGCAGCAGGGGCCTAAGCGACTTGTCCCTCAGGGGCCTGGGGGGAGGGGATGAGAAAGGCCACAGGGTACCCAGGGCGTGAAGGGTGATAAGAGAAAGCAAGAGGCCCAGGATCTGACTTCCTCCCAGTTCACTGGCCAGGGAAACGTGGCCTTGCAGAGTTGGATTGGGGTAGAGAGGCAGGTGGACAGTCTCCTGGGGGCCGTTGGTGGCCCTCTTCCCCAGGAGCAGGGCTCTGGGCAAGCCTCAGGTCACCACCCCGTGGCTGGGCTGAAATGGGATCCGCAGTGCCCTGAAAACGGTCCAGCTAAATTATTGATGGCGGGTGAGGTCCAGAGCAGTGGGGCGTGGCGGGGGCTGAGGATGGAGCTCAGAGGGCGGCAGCGGGTCGGCCCCTCGGAACCTCAACTCCTCCTTGGAATCCAGAGAGGGGGGCTGGAAGTGGTGGGGGGTTGGGATTGGCGGGAGCTGGACTAAGGATCTAGGCCAGGCTCCTTCCCCTGCCCGCTCCCCGCCCCACACCTGTCCCTCCAGTTCAGCCAGCGCTTCCAGCCCTACGTCCTGTACTGCCTGCGAGTGAAGCAGACCATGGCCTATGCCTGGAAGCAGCAGGACAACAACCCTCTCTTCCACACCTTCGTGCAGGTGGGAGAGGGGCTGCTGGGGAAGGGGGATGCGGCGGACCTTGCTCCAAGGCTGAGGGTATCCCCGGGGCGGGGCAGGAGGGTGGCTTGCAGCCCCCTGACCCCTGCCCACCTTCCCTGGCAGTGGTGTGAGAAGCACAAACGCTCGGGGAGGCAGACGCTGGGGGACCTCCTCATCAAGCCCCACCAGCGCATCACCAAGTACCCACTGCTGCTCCAGGCTGTGCTCAAGAGGAGCCCCGAGGCCCGCGCCCGGGAGGCCCTGACCGCCATGGTAGGGGCCACTGGGGCTGTACCCTCGGGAGTTGGGGGCTGGTGAGTGGGGACGCATCTCCAGGGACTCTTGAGGTCTCTTTCCTTACGTGTGTGTGCCGGCGTGGCACTGATGTCGTTGTCTGGGTGGGATGTACAGACGAGGAGCTGAGCTGTCCTCCCTCCACACCCCACCCTAACCTAGATCGCGGCGGTGGAGTCATTCCTCCGACACATCAACAAGCAGGTGCGCCAGGGTGAAGAGCAGGAGAGCTTGGCGGCTGCAGCCCAGCGCATCGGGCCCTACGAGGTCCTGGAGCCGTCCAGCGAGGAGGTGGAGAAGGTGAGAGAGGCGGAGGGAAGGGGGCGTCCAAAAAAGCAAGGCCCCCAGGAAAACGGATGAAGCCGAGGCCTGCAGCGGGAGAGGCAGAGGTGCCGTGGGCTGTGTGTGCCCATCCTTCCTTCCCGAGGGTGAGGGTCCCAGGGGCCAGGTGCAAAGGAGTGAAACGAAGGCACTGGGATGCTTCCTGTCCTCCAAGAGGCAGGATGCCCAGCGCCCCGCTCCTGTGCTCTCTGCACCCCGCAGAACCTGCGTCCATTCTCCACGCTGGACCTGATGGCCCCCGTGCTGGGCGTTGCTTCTGGGCACATCAGGCAGCTGCTGCTGGAGGGGCCTGCGCGCATGAAGGAGGGGCGAGAAGGGAAGGTGAGGGGCTGTGGGCGGAGCGAAGAAGATGGGAGGGGACTAAGAGGAAGAAGGGAGAGACGGTGGGACAGGATGCGTCAGAAGGCTGGGAATGGGAGAAGAGGGGTGTGTGTGTGTCTGTGTGTGAGTTTGTGTGTGTGTCTCTGTGTGTATCTATGTGTGTCTGTGGGTGTCCATATGTCTATGTGTGTGTCTGTATGTGTCTATGTGTGTATGTATGTGTCTGTGTGTGTCTGTGTGTGTGTCTGTGTCTATGTGTGTCTGTGTGTATCTGTGTGTATATCTATGTGTGTGTCTGTATGTGTCTATGTGTGTATCTGTGTGTATCTATGTGTGTCTGTATGTGTCTGTGTGTGTCTATGTGTGTATCTATGTGTGTGTCTGTATGTGTCTCTGTGTGTCTATGTGTCTCTGTGTGTATTTATGTGTGTCTGTGGGTGTCTGTATGTGTATCTGTGTGTGTGTGTCTATGTGTGTATCTATGTGTGTCTGTGTGTGTGTATGTGTGTGTGTATGTGTGTCTGTGCCTTTGTATGTGTGTGTCTGTGTCTGTGTGTGTCTTTGTGTGTGTTTCTGTGTGTGTTGGGAAGAGGACGTGGTTCTGGCTTTGCTCTGCTTGCTGGCATGGCCCTGAGTCAGCCACTTTCCTACCTGTAAAGTGAGAGATGGGCCCAAAGCAGCACGGCTCCCAGCTGTCCTATCCCACAGCTCTGCACCCGCCCCACACACCCATGCGTGAGCCCTGACCCCTGTCCCGCCTGCTCCCTGCTCCAGCTGACCCTCGTCTCTCTCTTTGCTTGCCCCCAGCTGGATGTGTACCTGTTCCTCTTCTCTGATGTGCTCTTGGTGACAAAGCCCCTTCGCAGGGCAGACAAAGCCAAGGTTATCCGCCCGCCCCTCATGCTGGAGAAGCTTGTGTGCCGACCGCTCCGAGATCCGAGTATGTCTTTCCTGGGGGAAACTTTTCCTTCTCCCTTCCCATCGGCTGGAGAAGGAGAGGTTGGGAAGGGGATCAGATAAAGTCCAGCCCTGGAAGCAGACCTTCTCCTCCACCCAGGCAGCTTCCTGCTTATCCACCTCACCGAATTCCAGTGTGTCTCCAGCGCCCTCACTGTGCACTGTCCCAGCGCTACAGACCGTGCCCTGTGGCTGGAGAGGACCCAGCAGGCCCAGGTATGTGAAGCCAGGTGTGGGAGCAGGGGGATGGCGGGGCCCCGGAGCTCAGATCCGGTGCACAAGAGTGGAGGAAGGGGAGAGAGAGGGTGGGGTGCACACAGCTTCAGACTGGACCTCCTGCCCCTCCGGTGCACCCTCGAGAGGGAGACACAGCCTTGACCAACCTTAAGAGGATGGAAGAGGGACTTCCCTGACGGTCCAGTGGTTAGGACTCCACGCTTTCACTGCCGAGGGTGCAGGTTCAATCCCTGGTCAGGGAACTAAGATCCTGCAAGCTGCATGGTGTGGCCAAAAAAAAAAAAAGTATAAAAAAAAAGAGCACAGAAGAAAGCCTTTGGCCAGCTAGGGTACCATTCCCTGGGAGAGCCAAGATAGCCTCCCCTGAAGGTTCCGAGGCTGTGAAACAATTAACTGCTGAACTTGAGCTTCCGTTCGGCAAACATGAACGGGGCACCTGCTGGGTGCGCACAGGCTGGGTGCTGGGGAATCAGAAAAGAATATAATGCCATTTCTTCCCTCACAGAATACATGCTGCAGCCTAGCTAGACAAACAAGTATACAAATAAGAGAAACGTGCGGACGGAATGGAGTTAGGACAGGGAAGGGAGTGGTTCACTCTGTCTGGTGGGTTGGTTGGGAGAGGGACAGTGCAGAGGACAGGTGCTTCAGAGGACAGAGGAGGCTTCGCAGAGGAGCTACTTTCTGAGCACCGCGGGCGGATATCTAGGAGCACGTCAGGGGAACAAGGTGGGCAGGAAAGGCATTCCAGATGGAGAGCAGAGTGTGCGAAGGTCGGAAATCGGAAGCAGTTGTGTGTGTTGAGCGCACCATCAGCTGAGTGGTTGGCGTCACCAGGGCACCAAGCACAAGGGCGGCACAACGGCAGAGAGGCCAGGAGGGAGGTGCCACCAGATCATGCCCATCCCTGGATGCCGTGCCGGGGAACTTGAACTTTGTCCTGCAAGTGACACAGAGGCAGTAAAAATGTTAACTAGTGGAGTGGAGTGATGCAGTGGGGACAGATTTATGCAACAAAAGCCGAAGGAGTTCAAAAGGTGGGAGACCCGGATGGAGCCATATTGGTTACTGCTTGGTGCCTTAAAGCAACAGAAACATTCTCTCACAGTTCTGGAGGCGGGAAGTTGAAAATCAACATGTCAGCCGGGCAGTGCTTCCTCTCCATAGCTCTAGGGGAGCATCCTTCCCGGCCTCTTCTGGCTCCTGGGGGCTCCAGGTGTTCCTTAGCCTATGGCAGCATCACTCCACTCTCTGCCTCTATCTTCACGTGGTCTTCCTCTCCATGTGTCTCTGTGTCCCAATCTCCCTTTCCTGTCTCTTAGAAAGACACCGGTCATTAACCCAAAATCCAGGATGACCTCATCTTGAGATCCTGCACTGAGGGTCTATGCACATCTGCAAAGACCCTTTTTCGAAACAAGGCCACTCACATTCACAGATTCTGGGGGTCAGGACCTAGACCCATCTTTCTGGGGCCACTATTCAACCCAGTACAGGAGCAGAATTGCCAAAGAAGAGGGAAGATTTGAGCTGGACTTTAAGGATGGGGAAGACCCTGAGCAGAAGACTCAAGGGAGAAATTGGGCTGGATTTATTTGGGGGACAACCAGCATGTCTGTCTGAGTCTGGAGGGAAGGGTTTTGTGTGGAGCCAGTGATGAAACGCCAAGTTCTAGGGGACCCCAGCGCCTGTAGAAGAGGGTGGGCTGGACGAGACTGAATTGAATTGGGTTGGCAAGTTGACACCAGAGCCACCATAGATTCTTTGAGCAAGGGAAGGCCATGGTGAAATCCGTGTGTTTTGTCTTGAATTGTCAGGTGGCAATGTGACAGGTGGGCTGGGGGCAGGAGAGATTGGTGGCAGGAGATTTCCCGTACTAGTTTGCGTATGAAACATAGAGGTTGAGTGCCACGGCCTTAGGGACATGGTGCAAAAAGAGAAGAAAAGAAGAAGGAAGGAGCTGAAGAAGAAAGAAGAGACAGGTGAGCCTTAGGGAGACCGATAGAAGCCTCTACCGAGCCCATGGTTCAGACCCCAGCTCTGCCTCTTACTAGCTGGGTGACCCTTGGTGAGTTATGTGGCCTCCCTAGTCTTCCGTTTCTTCACCTGCAAAATGGATATAAATAATAACAGTCCTTGTCTCATAGGGAAGATTCAAAGAAACCATTCAGATTAAGTAGGCAACTTGGTGCCTTGGTAACTCAGGACCACAAGGACAAAGGATGACTTGCTTCCGAGGTTCTTGTGTGAAAGGCTGCTTTGGCAATGACAACTGAAATCATTAGAAAGGGAAACCTGTTTGTCTAGTTGTTGCTTCCTGGGTGGCGTGGGGCATGGGTAGCAAGGTTTACTTTTAAACAGAAGCACTTTGGAAATGAGGTAATGGGAGACAGCCAAGTGGAGACCTTTCAGGGGTTTGTGGAAACACAGACTAGAGTTCAGGCGAGAAATGAGGGTGAACTATGAAAATTGCTAAGAGAGCAGATCCTAAAAGTTCTTTTCGCAAGGAAAAAAATGTAACAACGGTGACGAATGTTCACTAGACGTCGTGTGGATCACTTCATATGTACACAAATGTGGAATCATTATGTTGTACACGTGAAACTAATATGTCAATTACACCTCAATTTTTTATAAAAAGAAGAGGCATTTTGAACAAGTTAAGAAATCATAGTGTAGATGATTTCTAAAGAATGCAACTGCACTATTTTTAAAGAGTTTAAATCGAAGTAGTGCTACTCATAGGACTTGCTTTAATGAGCAGATTATAATGATTTGTCGTTTGCACATCAGGTAATTAGGGCTTTGAAACTTTGGAGGATACGTAAAAACAGTCTTGTCCTTTAAACAATTTTAAGCGTTCTTCCCACAGTCTTACCTATGGCATCGTATCAAGATGTGGAGAGCTTATTCGAGAAAAGGAAAACCAGAGCTTAGTCTCTGTTTAAACACTGTATTTAAAGATTCGGAATTATGAGAGTAAAAAATAAATAGGAGGTTTATGCCATTAAAAAAAAAAAAGAAAAAAGGATGAAAGATCTTGAACCTCAAGATCTTGTGTCCTCCAGCCCTTCGGGGCTGTCATTTCCTTGGATACCTAAACACGATGGTGACAGCGCCCAGGAAGCCAGAGGTAGGGGACAGGGTGTGGGTCATCTGCCCTGACCCCTGCTCCAGGCCAGATCAGAGTCCCCTCTCTCTTTGCAGTGGGGCCTCCTCTCTACACCACCGCCCCCCAGCCCAAGAAGAGACCCCCCACCTTCTCCTTAGAACCCCCAGGGGAACCACTAAAGATTGCTGGTATTTTATTACACAAACTCATTTAGCCCCCAGGAGTTTTACTCCACGCTAACTGAGGTAGAGAAGGCATTTCCAATACCTAACCGAGCAGCGCACAAGCTCCCCGCGTCCCCTTGCAAAACCAAGAACCCTGAAACTTTGAAATGAGTTTGTCCTGCTACTGCCTCACACCAAAGCCTTAGGGAAAATCCTTTTCGCAGTTACCACCAGTCCTTGCAAACTGAAGAGGGCCGTAGAATACCTACTGATCCTAGGGGTCAGGGTGTTTTTTCTCCGCCTTACAGAATCGTACATATGTAGATTTATTCCTAGCGGGTCTGGCTGTGTGGCTTCAGCTTTTAGAGAAAATGAGCTTCTCAAGAGGAGAGACACTGAATCTTGGGAAATGCCCATGTTTAGGGGCTGGGAAGAGGAAAATGAACCAGTGCTGGGAACAAGGAGCTATCAGAGACGAGGCCAAGACGTGAACGGAGGAAAGAGGTGGGCTCGGAGGGCCCGCAGCCCAGCTCTCACTCATTATCTACGTCAGTTCTCTCAGCTCCGGCCCCACCTGGGAACTGCAGGGATGATGGGAACCACCTTGCAGGACAGACGGGAGAGTTATGCTTGTAAGCTGCTTGACACGCGCCCGGCACTTAATGGGGGTTCCATACGTGTTTATTGTTGTCCGCTTTAGAAGATGCCAACATCTTCTAAAGGCCAGGGGTGCCTGGCCGAGGGCACCTTCAAGAGATGGTTTTCGTCCGTGATGGGAGACTTGGGGAGGGCAGCGGGTGAATTTGGGAGCCGCTCCAGGGGCAGCAGGGAGAGGAGGCATTTCCTCCCAAGGCTTCAGTTCCCCACCAGGGCAAAGGAAGAAGAACCGTGGCGTCGGGGGAACCCTCCCTTTTCCCGGCTTTGTGGGGCTGTCACATTCAGGCCCAGGTACCAGTTTCCTCTTCCTTTCCCACCCTGCCCCCAACACATCTCTCCTCCTACCCAAGCTGTGAAAATCCTCCCAGGGTTGCTAGAGAGCCTTTGGGGTGGCCGGGGGCCCTTCAAACAGCCCGGTCCCTGGTACCTGAGGTGTCGGGTCCTCCATCCCCACCCCACCCCTTGCCTCCCTGCTTCTTCCCAGGTGGGCCCACGGGAGAGTTTAGTGGAGATGCTTGTATGGGACAGACGTTCCTTCCAGACCACCCCCCAGCCGCCTTCCTCCCAGTTCTTTTCCTCCACACACCATCTCTATCCTGGACATCCCAAAGATAAACTTGAACTTGAGTCATATGGGGCCAAAGGGCATCTCAGCAGGCTGCCCCAGCCTCACCCTGACCCCAGCCCCACCCTGACCCCAAGAGCGGCTCCTCCCACCCTCGTTACTCTGCACAGCTGGGAGATGCGGAAAAGGTCACAGGACCTGGCCTGGTGTGCTGGTCTCCTGCCCCCAGACACCATCATCCCTGGCTCTGGCCGACAGAGCAAGTCTTGTGAGACTGCTGAGAATCCTTGCATGAGACAGTGGCTGGGAAGCCAGGGCAGGAAAATTGGAAATACAAGCCTGAGGTCATTTTCCTGTCCCTGTTCATCCTTTTCTCCAACATGTCTCTTGTACAGACCCAGCTACCCCCCACCCCGTTGTGTTTCTGGAGAGGCTTTGGGAAGGTCCAGAGTTGCCTAAGAATTGCCGTTCATATACCTGAAGGGGGTGAGGGGAGGGGCATATTCAAATTACTTAATAACCAGAATGGAATGGGCATCAACCAATCAGAGTAGAGCTTGGGGAGGCGGGGATGGGGTGGGTGGGTGGTGGTGGTGGTGATGATCCTAGAGGCCCCCTGCTGTGCCAGATGTTATCCCTCTGCTGCTGGATCTTGGAGGGCAGGGTAGTCCTGGTGAAGGAAGGTGGGAGGCTTGGGCAGTAGCCCTTTGCTCACCAGCACGAACGTACTTCAATATGTGCACAATGATAAGGCCATTCCAGCCGGTGCTGGTATCAGCGCCGCCCCCAGCAGCCTCCACCACCTCTTTTTGCCAAGCCTCCGCCTTTGGCCTCTCCAAGGGTTCCCTTGCCATCCCTCCCCTCCCCCAAGAGAAAGTTGTCCTTTGGTAATTCCTGACCCTTTCTAAGGCTGCCCTTGAAAAATAGTGCAGTTACTGAACTAGGACTCACAGAGAAAGACCCAGCCCCAATTCTGCTTCTCTCTACCTGTGCACCCTGGATCAAGTCCACTCATCTTTCTAAGCCTTGTTTTCCCATCTGTAAAATCGACTAATACACTGCAGGGTGACGGTGTGTGTCAAATGACCTGTGCGCCCTGGATCAAGTCCACTCATCTTTCTAAGCCTTGTTTTCCCATCTGTAAAATCGGCTAATACACTGCAGGGTGACGGTGTGTGTCAAATGACCGCCTGCACGTAGAGGCGCTTCATAAACCACTTCTCAGATATTACTATTTTATTCCGGTGGCGCCTGTATGAAAATGCTAAGGAAGACAAAATATAATGTATCCTCTCTCCATTCCTCTTGGGGTGGTCTTGTTGTCAACTCTGAAGGACAACAAAGTCCTCAACCCAGGACAAAGCCTGCCCCTGCCCACCCTGGTGGTAGGAGAAAGAGTAACCTGAGGGCCCAGCATCATTCAGAGCAATTATGCCACCATCACCACCAATCAGGGAGGACTTCCTGAAGGAAGAAACAGACCAGACCTTGGCTTGCCAAGGGGATGTGAGAGGCAGGAAGAACGTACAAGTAGGAAAAGGGGCCTTATGTTTACCCCACACATCCTAGGACCAGCTCAAGAGTTCAAACACTGGCTCCGTCCTACCTTCCCGCGGCATGACCGTGGCAGTTACTTAACCTCAGAGTCTCTGTTTCTCAGGAGTAAAGTAGGAGCAAAAACATCTGCCTCATAGGGCGGCGGTGGTGAAGAGAAAGCAAGATAATGTATGTAAAGCACTTAGCATGGTGCCTGGCATACAGCAGGTGCTCAATAAATGAGAGCTCTTAATGAAAGTATCCCCACCCCAGGTCACCCTGCAAAAGCTGAAGGCAGAGGAGCACATCCAACAGAAGAGGGAGCTCCTGGCCCTCTATCAGGACCGGGACGGGGAGTCCCCAGGCCCCAGGCCCTCCATGCCTTCGGTGGAAGGCTCTGAGAGCAGCACAGAGGGAAGGTAAGACCTACAGGGCGTACAAGGCCTCCCAGAGGAGGGGGGCTGCAGGCAGGGAGGGAGGGCAGAGGAGCCCACAAGGTTGGGAAATGGTATTACAGCTTTTGGGGGGACTGGGACCAGACTGAGGAACCCAGGCTACAGGTTGACACCAGCCGTGCGAAAGGCCACATGAGACAGCCTATGGGGTTAGCCAGCCTACGGCTGGCACAGGGTGAAGGAAACAGGCACGAGAGGCACAAATTCCCTGAGAGAATCAGGTTCCCCAGGCCGGGGATGGAGAGTGAAGGCCCGTATGGGTTTGCAGAATGTCAGAGCTGCAGGGACCCGGCTAGTTCAAATCCCCAGAGAGCGTGAGAGTTTCACCCAAAATAACACAGCTGTTGAGCAGCACGGTTATAGAGAAAAAAAGACTCCATCACTGGGGGATAACCTCAGGGGAGCTCGGGAAGCACTCAGCAAATACTTGGTAACGAGTTTCTGGACTGAGTGCAGGGGCTAAAATGCCTTAAAGGAGCTTATAGTCTAGCCAGTGAGATGAGAAAAACAATCAGTGCAGTGTAAAAGTGATACCAAAATAAGTCTGGAGGAGGGCCCATTTCTGGATGGAGGGATCAAGGGAGACTCCCTGGACTTGAACTTGACCCCTCAGCATCTGACTCTGACCATTTGCTAGTAACTGTAGGACTCCTGAGTCCTCGACCGTCATCCCCCAGCTGGTGGTGACAGAAGACACAGATGAAGGTGCTCCCTTGGTACCAGATGATACCTCGGACTCTGGCTATGGCACTCTGATCCCAGGCTCCCCCAAGGCGTCCCACTTTCTGCCAAGCCGTCTACGCTCCAAGGTCCTTCGGCAGGACCCTCGCCGCACCTTCTCCACCCTGGACCTCCGAGATGTTCCTTTGCATCTCCAGCCTCCTGACCCCCAAGCTCCCCAACGCCGAAGCACCCCTGAACTGCCAGAGGCAAGTGTCCAGAAAGGAGGCAGCCTTCCCAGGGGAGACCCACCGACCTGGTCTGAGGAAGAAGGCGGGACCTCGGTTGGAGAGAATGTGGTAGTGGAAACCTTACATAGGGCCCGACTTCGGGGGCAGCTCTCCCCCTCCCTGACCCACACTGACTCTTCTGGGGAAAGCCCCTGGGAATCCTCAGGGGATGAGGAAGAGGGGCCCTTCCTGGGACCCGGCTACAGCCCCTCCCCTCACCCGCTCCGGGCCGAGGACATGCTCCAAGAGATCCGGGAGGAACTGGCCAGCCAAAGGATTGAGAGAGTCCCCGAGCCTGGGGACAGCAGACCTCGGAAGCTGACTCGGGTCCAACTGCAGAGGATGCGGGGGCTTCACGTCATACACCTGGACACGCCCCTGTCCACATCGTAAGTGCAGAAGGGAAGCTGGCGTGGGATGGAGCGGAGGGGAAGGCCAGTATGGAGCCAGAGGGGATGCCGGGGCAGGGGGGGTGGCGGGACAACACAGGAGGGCAGGACCAGAGGGGGGTCATGGCGGGGAGGGGCCTTTAGCCTCACTCTTCACCCCATGTCTGCCTACCTGACACCTGCCTCTTGCCTTTGCAGAGAGGTGTGAGGGAATACCTCCCTAAGAGTGCTGGTCACCACCTCCACCCCTGGATTCTACCTCAAGGACACTTCCCCAGGCACCCTGCCCTTCCTGCTCTGAGGACTTTGGGGATCAAGAGCTGTACACCGATGTGCCACAGACACACCAGAGTCCCACATAAAGTTGTGCATAAAGATGGCCGTCCAACCAGCACTAGATGAGGGAGGGGCAAAGAGAACCTGGCGGGTGAGGAGTCACAGACTGAGCACAGGTGACTCCTCTGTTACTGGGCTGCACGAGGGTGAGGTATCCCCCCGCCCCGCTAATCCGCCAGGATCACGGCTCTGGCCCCGCCTCCCACACGCGCCAGGCAGAAAGGCCACTCCCTCCAGGAGCAGAGCTTTAATTCCGGGCTTTTAGTGTATTTACAAAAGTCCACAGCTCCAGCGGGAGGGCCCTTTGTTCTGTGCCTCCCCTGCCTTGGGACACTTCGGCTTACTCTGTGCTTGTCCAGGCAGGGGGACAAAGGTTCTATTAGTGTACATAATGGAAACAAAGATTGCTTATCTACTGTGAAACGGGCTCAGGGACCAACCGGGGCCCCCAAGCAGCCTTGCTGGGTTCTCCAAGTCCAAAATGGGCAATGAGGCGCCCCTCATCCCCGCAGCCACCGCCTGGGCTCCTGGCACACTCAGCCTCTCTCACGAGTAACACACACTCCACATCACACAGACACACACACTCTGACACACACACTACACACAGCTCACCCGCTGGCAATGCTCAGGCAGCTGAGATATACACTGAGGGAGTAGCACCAGGTTAAGTGGCTGCCGGATCATGCCTGCTCCGCCAAGACCCTTCCCCTCCAGAAAAACGGGGATCCAGAGGGCATCTCGCAGGTCCTTCCAGGCTGCCTGGGGCAGGAAGCAGCCGTCTCAGGGCTGCCCGCAGGGGCCGGGGCGTGGCCTCATCGGGGAAGGCGGGGCTCGGGCGCGAGGCGGGCGGGGCCGCCCAGCGCCTCCTCGATGTCCTCCAGGCAGCCGAGCAGGTCCATGTCGCGGAGCACGCGGCCCAGCAGCTCCAGCGTGGCCTCGCGCCGCGGGGTGCGCCGCCGCCAGGCCGCCAGCATGCTGTACTGTGCCTCGCGCAGGCAGCGCAAGTTCTGCAGCTCCAGCCGCTCGATTTCGTGATCACTCAGCCCCAGCCGCCGCACGAACTCCTTCCAGCGCAACGGGGGCACGCCGTCCACCACAGCGTACAGTGTCGCGGGGTCAGCTGCCGGGAGGCGGCGCGGTGAGCCCGGAGCGGCGGCCCTCCCCGCCCGGCCCACACCCGCCCGCCTCCCCGGCCGGGGTTCCCTGCGAGGATGAATGAGGAACTCACCATCTGCGAGCGGAGCGGGGGCGCTGGGGGCGCCGTGGGCGCTGGCCTCCCACTTCTGCACAGGGGTGGGGACGGGGGTGGAGGCTGGAGGCGCAGGGAGGATGGGGCCAGCCCCTTGGTGGGGCGGGGCCATCTCTCTGGGGAGTGATGTGACTCTGAAGTTGGACCACGGCGGGTCACAGGGGGTGAAGGTGGGACTGGAGGCAGGACTGAAGCTCGGGATGGGACTGAAGCTTGGGGCCGGGGCCAGGGGCTCTGGCTCCCCCTGAGAGAGAGAGAAGGCACAGCATTAGCGGGGAAGAGGAAATACAGCCCCAGCCCTCCTTCTGGATTCTGGACGGGAGTTGGGGCTAGAGGGAATCAGGGGAGCCCCAGGACGAAGGGTGATTCCGGGTGATTTGGGTGTTACAAGATGACAACGGACAGTCAGGGAAGACTGCGGGTAGTTCCCCGGTTTCACCTTACCTCCTTTACAGGAGCCGACTGCCCACAAACTGAGAAAAAAGAGACAAAGCGTCACAGATTTCACTTCCTCTCTCAACCCTGGCACCCATCATGGGGCTGGCGGTGGGTACTTGTGGTGACATGCTTCAGGGCCTATGTGGCCCCAGGGACGAGAGAGCTACTGATGCAGTATGAGCTCTCACCAGCCGTCCAAGACCACCTCATGCCAGTGGGGTCCTCGCCAGCAAACTAAGGGGACACTCATCTCCCTCCATGCCTGTGCACCCCTCCCTCCCGCCTCCTCTGAAGCCTCCTCCTGCATTCCTACCAGCACCCTTTCCCTTCCCAAAGTCCCCACTCACTGATGGAGTAGAGCTTGGGCTTCCACCGCTGGTATCGGCATGCTAAAACAATGAGGAGGAAGGATGCCAGGCAAAGACCAAATATGATCACCAGGGGCAACAGTACTGTAGTGCCTGGAAACAGAGCAGATTGTGGTCAGAGGAGAGGGGCTCTGGAGGTAGCAGGGCAGGACGGATGGGGAGGGGCATGACTAGGAAAGGGTCCGTGGGCATGGGCACCAGGATAATTCTCCTCACCTGGGTCCTGAGAGTTGTTACTAGTTACAGGTAGAGCTGGACATAACTTCTCGCACTCCGTGTTCTTACAGCTAAAAGAAGAGAGAGGGCTGGTGAGTAGGGGCCCCCCGTAAGAGGAATACAGGAAAAAAAGAAAAAGAAAGAAACCACACAGATTGTTGGAAAGTCTTGGCTTTACAAATATTTTAGCTATCTCTTGATATAATGGAAATTAATCCTATCTTGGGAATTGATGCGGAGGAAAGAAACATTAGTTAATCCCCAAATCATTTCATTTTAGAGTTGGATTTGATCTTGAAGAAGCTATGTAGAGGGCTTCCCTGGTGGCGCAGTGGTTGAGAGTCCGCCTGCCGATGGAGGGGACACAGGTTCGTGCCCCGGCCTGGGAGGATCCCACATGCCGCGGAGCGGCTGGGCCCGTGAGCCATGGCCGCTGAGCCTGCGCGTCCGGAGCCTGTGCTCCACGACGGGGGAGGCCACAACAGTGAGAGGCCCGCGTACCGCAAAAAAAAAAAAAAAAAAAGACGCTATGTAGAAAAAGAGTTAAAAGCAGTCAGAGTCAGGTATAAATTCCAGCCCCATTCATTGGCTAGCAGTGTGACTCCAGGCAAATCACTTCACCTGTGAGCCTCAGTTTCCTCATCAGTAAAGCAGGGACCTACCCACTGTCAAGACTGAGGGTTAAGTGAGATAATTACGCCTGACATATAGTAAGCCCTCAGTAAATGCTGACTGTCACTGAATTGTTATTTTATCACTGTTTCACTGATGAGAATCCAGTGAAAAAAAGGTTAAAGAGCTTTTTCTCTAGATGACACTGCTGGTGACAGCACCTAACTTTGAGAGAGGGGTCTAGCATGCATGTGAACAATTAAGAAACATCTTGCTGGGGGCAGCCAGAGAACACTCTAGAACAAGTGCATCTTCCCGTTTTGGAGCTGGCACTGGGCAGCATGGACTAATGAGAACTACATCAGGGGTCCTAGAAGGAACTTGAGGAGGTGAGTTCTCAGCAGGAATCTGAAAGCAGGGAGAGGTTATTTTGCCCACCTCACAAGCTCCTGGTGAGAACCACACGGAAGGGGTGTAGAAGTGCTTTTAAGGGGAAGAGACTCGTGGGAAAAAGAACATAGTTTCTTGTCAGACACTTTGTGGCTATTTTTTGTGGTTCTTACAGCTTTGCCAACCTGGTGTCATTATCCTTACTTTAAAGGTAAAAACAACTAAGGCTCAGAGATGTTAAGTCACTTGCCCAAGCTCACACAGCCTGAGATGTTAAACCCAGGGCAATTCAACTTTAGAACCCTCAGTTTCCTCTTTGCAAGCAAGTGTGCAAGAACAGCCTCTGCAGAGCCAGAAGGAGTGAGGAGGTGTGGTCAAAGGGACTGGGGAGGAAAGTGCATACTGCATTAAACCTAAGATCAATAATCAGAGACATTACGATTTACATCCTACACACACACACACACACACACACACATGCACAGGTGCCAACTGAACCGTGACACACCGTCAACTGCTGTAAGACGCAGTATGATCTCAGAGATGTAAAAGTGTATTCCTAGAATCCATAGCAGGGTCTGTTGCCCAAGAATCTGAACGTCTTCCAAAAAACATCTGAATGTCTAAAAGGAACTTCAAGTCCTTGCGGTATGCGCCTCTATCCACAGAGACTTCATGAGATTTTAGGAACAAGTTGGGGGCAGGGAGGACTGTCTGGTATCTTGACATGAAGTGTCTCCCATCCAAACAGCCTGGAGGAGCCAGAGCACCTCCCACAGTCTCCTTCTCCCATGCCGATCTGGTGCCCAGCAGCCAGCAGAAGTACTCACTGAGCACAGGAGACGCACTCAGCTTCTCTTAGAAAGAACCCCACATGGCAGTGGCAGACGGTGTCCTGTCTCTCCTTGCCTGTAGGGAGAGATGCGGCACAGCTGAAGGAGGATGGCCCAGCACCCTGAGGGCCGGAGGGAGAACCAGCGGGGGCAGGGGTACAGCAAGCTGGAGACCGCCCTCCAGAGACGGGGTGAGCAGCTGGGTCGGGAGGGCCATGCTCACAGGAGTGGTGCACCGTGCCGTTGGGGCAGAGGCTGCAGTTCAGACACTGGAACAGAGTTTCACTCCAATACTTCCGATACTGGTTCTTCCTGCAGCCACACACGGTATCCTGGTCCACTGCGCAAGGAGCAATCTCCACCTGGAACATTTCTGGTGCGGGGAGTAGATGGGGTATGAGCTCCCACTGTCCCCACCGGGTGTGTCTCTCTGGGTAACGCACGCTCACACCCATGCATTCGTTCACTTGTGCACATGCATCCCTGCCCACCCGCAGCAGCACAGCTTCGTACCTTCCCCTGGAGACAAGACGCGCACACCCACCTGACCCAGTCGGTTTAGAGCCCCGCCCCCCCTGCTGAGACTTACCTTTCCGGCACTTGGAGCAGCTCAGACATTGTCTGAGGTGGTTCTCCGAAGCGGTAAAGGTGCCGCGGGCACACACCCTGCAGTCCGTGTCCAGCCCCGGGCCCGGACAATCATTGTACAGGTAGGTACCTGTGATTGGGGGGTCGGGGTTAGGCTGCAGCCAGGATCCCCAGCCCCAGGACGGCCCGGGCACCTCCCCGAAGTCCCCGGGAGAGGAAAGGAGGGAGAAACTCCCAGCCCTGGAGAGGCAGCCAAGTCAGGGCCCCCACGTTCCGGAACATCTGGAAAGAGCAAAGGGAGAAGCAGGGCCCCCTGAGGAGCCCCACGGTTACCCCCCCTCCTACCTTTGTGGCACTTCGTGCAGCAAATGGAATTATTTTGAGGGTGGCTATATTTCCCTTGGGG